CAACTTCAACGCACGAAGCGTTAAGAGGCAAAAGAAAGTAGTGGTGCCACTAGCTCGCATGAGCCACCGCTAACTCCATATCGAAAGCCAAGCATCACCTGCTACCGCCTGCCAGCACTTGAACTCTGTCTCACTCGATGCCCCTCCCCCCCCCCCCAGCCGAGGTGCGATGCCCGAGTCGGGGAACTCCAGCCCAAGCACTGCCAAGCACCGCCCGACGAACCCAAGCCGATCCAATGACGGCCTGGGCCCCGGGTCGAAACATCAGATCATCTCGTTCCTGAACATCAGAGAAGAGGAGTCCATCTACACTCTGTTACACCAAGTGGACTGACTGGTCTCTCGTCACGCAAACCCATGACCCCCGCCTATAAAGCACCCTTGGTCCTAGAACGTCAACCAAAGGCAACATCGTCACCAGGCATTGCTGCACCCCATCGTCACCATCGCACTTGAACCGCCGGACATCTTACCCCGCTTCGGCCTACCTACGCAGGCCAACCTCTGCAAAGCATCTCGACCAAATCCAGCGAACACGCGGCGCATCTCCCCATCCCCACACCCATACGCATCACAGGACGTCCACCATGTGCATCGTACTCCTCACGACAGCTCACCCCTCCTACGCCCTCATCGTCATCGACAACCGCGACGAGTTCATCCTGCGCCCCACCTCCCGCCCGCACTGGTGGTCCCACCCCGCGGGGCCCACCGTGCTCTCGCCGCGCGACCTCCAGCGCGCCGAGAAGGGCACCTGGCTCGGCCTCACCTCGACCGGCGCCCTCGCCGTGCTGACCAACTACCGTGAAGACGGGCCCCCGGACGCCGCCCACCCGATCCACGCGCAGCGGTCCCGCGGCGGCATGGTGACGGCCTGGCTGGGTGCCGACCCGCACGAGCCGACGGCCGAGACGGTGCAGAAGCTCGTTGCCGACGGCGGCGTGCGCGGCGTCGGCGGCTTCAGCATGGTCGCCGGCAAGCTGCGGCGGAAGCGGGGCGAGGCGCGCGCCCTCGAGGGCATCGCCATTGTCTCGAACCGGTGCGGCCACGTGCATGACGTGCCGTGGATCGGCGAGGCGAGGGGCGAGGTCTACGGCCTCAGCAACACGTCCTACCACGATCCCGAGGCGTGGCCCAAGGTCGAGGACGGCAAGAGGCTCGTCAAGGAGGCCGTGGAGCAGGCCGTGGCCGAGGACCTCGACGAGGAGGCGCTGGTGGAGAAGCTGTTTGGCGTGCTGGGCACCGATACGCTGCCGGCGCCCAAGCCGGGACAGGGGTTCGCCGAATACATCCCGCAGCTGAAGCACAGCATCTTCATCCCGTCGATTGGCGATGAGCATCACCGGCAGGCCATGGTCGAGGCCACGAAGAGAGGCAAGGGCGAGTGGGATACCGACGACAAAGTGGCGGCTGAACAGCTGCAGCGACCCGATGCGACGCCCGGCGAGAACGGCATTGGATTCGACACTGGCATGTACGGGACGCAGAGACAGTCCGTCATTCTGGTTGACTGGGATGGAAATGTTGTTTTCAAGGAGCGTGCCCTCTGGGATTCGAATGGAAACCCGATCCCCAAAGGAGAGGGCGACGTCGTCTTCAAGTACAAGATTGAGGGGTGGGATGACTGAGTGTGCATACGCCATCATATGACCATCTTTATGCTCAGCACACCTTCTAGATCGGCCGCATCATCCGCACAACGGACTAGAAAGTAGAACTAGACAAAACAGAGAAACATTCAAAGGAGTATTGGTGCTGGATATGCCAGAAACATGATGAGAATGCCATTATCAAAGGGATTAGCACCAAGGAGGTCGTGAACTGCATGTGAGCTACAGGAGCTTGTCTAATGAAGGTGATGCTCAGTTGAAAAAGGCCCCTGGCAGTACAATCTTCAACGCGCGGTCTTCAATGTCAGGGGCCAGTAGTAACGAGACGAACAGCGATGAGTAACACTTGCCAAAGGCATGGATCTTCACAAAGAGCCAACAATGATGTTCTCACAGCACTGCAGGGCTCCATAGATGTGTGAGCCAGGCAGTTACTGGTTGCTTCCCGACCATCGCCATGCCGACAGCTATAGATCGTGAGGGCAGTCGTGACCGTGGCCATCACGTCAACGCAATGCAAACGTCAACATAAACGTCGGTAACTACCTTCCCTTCCTATCTTCTGGGCTTTCTGAATCTGTGAATTCCTCCTGAACCCAAGAGGCCAATCTTCCCGACTCTCAACGCTGCCTTCCAGAACAAAACACAAGCTTTCCCCTTCATTATCACAGTCAACCGGTAACAAGCCTTGGACTTCTTGATCCTCCTTCAACTGCTTTTATTGTTGCATTCATTATTCCTGTCCTCTACGCTCTCCTCACACCTCAAGATGGGCCGTTTTGACCACAAGCACAAGAAGTCTCGTCTGCCCACCCGAGAGGGCGCCGCAGCGCGCCCATCTCTTCGTAGCCTCATATCGGCACCAGTCGGACCAATTCATCGCAGTAACGGCCAAGATCTCCAGCGGGGCGAGGGGTTCTCCATCGTCCCCTCGATCGACTCCTGTGCCGGCTCTAACCCCAACAACCCAACCGTAGGTGAACAGAGAAAAGAGCATCTTGATATGGCCGACGCCCGAAGCAACAACAATGGCTGGATCATGGAAGACGGTGTCGGCAAGACTCGGCTTGGCATTCCGACCAGCTCCCCGGCACCTATGGCAAGACGGCTTTCTGCAAGCTACAGGGGTGGCCGGCCGCCTGTTGGAAACCCTGTTACTGCCAGCGAGAACAAGATGACAACTCGTGGCACCCTCGCCATGTCACGAACGACTATTGGTTCGAATGCATCGGCAACCAAGTTCCAACCCACGCTCAAGGTCGGCGAGGCAGAACGTGCCAGCCTGGGCAGCATGAAACCATTGCCCGAACTGCCAGCTGTGAAGCATTCCAAGGGCAGACTGAACTTGTTCACCGGAAAGAAGAGCAACTTCAACTTTCAGTCTTAGCACCAAGGTCAATTTTCCAGACTCAAAAGCCTTCATTTCGAGACCATCAGTCAAGACGGGCTACCTCGTGACATTCTAGATCTAAGGTCATTCTCCTATCCGCACTCTTCCTTCCTCTAAGCCTTTCGGCTCCACTTAGTCGAGGACTCTTCGCGGGACTAACTATACCTGACTCGTCTCTCCTCCATGAATCATCGCTCGATCTCTGGATCGA